GAATGGATCTGCTCACCCACTGGAGCCACCGCCGTCCACCCAGACACAAGCATCGAACTTTGCGTATACTGCGGAGCAGCCGACCCGGACGCGGCGCACGTGGACCAGCACAACCACGCCGCTTGCCTCGATAGACCGCTCTTAGACCGGACCTACTACCGCAAAGATCACCTTCAGCAGCACCTCAAGCTGGTGCACGGCTCCAAGTTCATGAAGTGGCCGATGGACCAATGGAAAGTCTCGGGCCGAGAAATACGGTCGCGATGCGGGTTTTGCGATGCCAATCTGACATCCTGGGATGCCCGTGTTGACCACCTTGCAGCACACTTCAAGAGTGGAAACACCATGGACGACTGGAAGGGGACTTGGGGGTTCGATCCACAGGTCGTCGAAACGGTCGAAAACGCAATGCCACCATGTGAGTAGTCCCTTCGAGAAGCCCTGGTCTCTTACTTACCCGCCAGACCTTATCCACTACGAGCAGAAGTCGCCGCTCCCCATATCGTCCATGATGGGACCTCCCGATACACCGACCAGCGCGTACGAGCTCGTCAAGCTGGAGCTGGAGCACTATATGCGCAACTACCTCGACACCAACGGCAGCTTTCCCTCCGATCAAGAGCTGCAGTTTGAAGGGTGCTCCATCATATTTGGCGCTGAAGTCTTGTCCCCCTTTTCGCTGCCATCATCGGCGTCCTGGTTGCGGGATGTCTTCATGGCTTCCGAAACGTCAAATGCGGCTCGACTTCTTCCCATGCAACAAGTCGCCAAGTCACGATTGACAAAGCTTACGATCAACGGCAAGAGCAACATCTTCGACAATTGCGAACTTGAGCTTGAGATGCATCAGCGTATCGTCATGCATGGAGCTCTCGGCCTCGTCTTGTCCGACTACACGCTGCAACAGGAGGCGTCTGAGATTCTCGAGAGCGTCGAGACTTGCTCACCCAATCCCTCCAAGCTGTTCAAAGACTTTCTGCTGCGACTCGTCTGGGGATCGAGCAAGTGGCTGGAGCCTCTCCGCCAGCGGGACCAGCAGCTGTCCACAGATGAGCCGCGAGGCATTCTTGCATTTGCGCACCAAAGAGACACCGGTCATGCTCCTCTGGGCCAAAAGCCCCCAGAAGTCTGGCCTGAGGTTTGGCCGCAGAAGGACGCCGAACCCTTGTCGAGTTCATTCTTGACGAGCACGCTGCTGAGCTCTGGTCAATCTTTGCGCGGCGGTGATGGCATGCCCTTCCTTTTGAACGACCACAACAGCTACAGCAGGCTGACGGCAGGCTTGACGCGATTTGTTGTGAGTGCCATGTCGCCGAACAACCCAAAGAGGCACGTGCCAACGGACGAAGAGATTTAGTACGAAGCCCGTTGGCTGTGGTACGACAGGTAAGTCAGACGCCGTTCTCCCGGGAGGACATCTTGGCAACAGTAGACTGACTGTACAAAGTGATGACCCCTGGGACCAAACCCCCGCTGATAATACCGAGTGGCTTCGCGAGTTCAAACGCGGCGTTGGACTGCTACAACAGGATAGCGTCGAAGCGTTGTAGGCCGACAGCGAGCATCGTGCCACTCCGATGCAACATGGCCACCGCTACCAGTTGACGACCGAAGACGTTTCTCTGCCGTGTGGCTGGCACTTTGTACACCATCAAATATGAGATGACTTCGCCGGTATGCTGACGCATTCAGCGTGGCAATTGAGCACCAGGATCCCCGGGACGCAGCATCTTTCAACGTCATTGTATAGCTTTTCCTTAGTGGGGGCCGCGAATGCCTCGAAATTGTCTCCAGGGTTATGCGGCACATCCATCCACTAGAGCGATATTGACTGACAACACCAGTCATATGGCTTCATGAATGATAATGTGTAATAGCTGCAGTCATATGGCTTCATGGGCGATAATGTGTAGTAGTAGCAGAGTACGATGTTCACTGGACCTTCGTCACGCAGTCCCTCGGTACAGTGACCATGCCCTACAAACCAGATAGTCCCATACTCCTCAGAGAGTCTATCGAGGCCGCCAAGTGTAATGCAAGATTGGAGAGATCAGTAACAGCTCTGCTTCCGCTGCAATATCAAGGTCAACTCACCAGCGATTGCTCATCGAGAAACGCAGTTGCCAGAGTGGTGAGGTATCCTCAAAGCCTGTGACTGCGAACTTACCCACAGGCAGAGTGGGGACGTCTGAACCGCATCATGAAAACCTGCAAGGTGCACGAGCTGGCAACTAACAATCCGTCGCATGGCCGCGATCGTCGGAGGCTTGTGTGGTGATTGATAGGCTCTGTTGGTGCCGAGGGCAGGCCCGTTCGCAGTGGTTGGCCCAGCCTGCGCAAGGCTACTGCACGCACATGGTAGGGAGCGCAGGCCAGGCGCAACCAGAAACAGGCAGTTGATTGACGAATATGGCATGGTGCCTGGCATCAAAGCTACCTTGCTGGAGGTAGACGAAGTACCCTGAAAGACACCAAGGTTATGCTTGGTCGACATTGGCTGCCAAGTGACTGCTCGGAGCTAGCCCCGTGCTGTTGGGTCTGGGTGTCGACGAGGGTGCCCAGCCAGGTAACCTCAACATGATCCGCCTTCACTCCATAACGAATAGACGAGATAGCAGCATCTGATTGTTCGCCAAGGTGCTTCAAAATATGAACAACAGCAGCGCTATCATCCTTGGCTCCTCGACGCTGTCAACCTTCTGTGCGTGTCTTCCCCGCACCTGACCTCCCGCTGGCCGCCGAGTCATTGAACAACCCTCTCGCCCGGTCTGATTCCAACTACGGGCCAGTCACTGGCATGCTTCGCTTGCAGGGAGGGCGAGGTCGGCAGCCACCCGGATAACGCCCGGCCCACCACCCTGCTGGGCTTTTGAATCTCGATGCTCTGGAGGAAGGACGATGGCCGAGGCACTGGAAGATGGCCGAGAAAGGGGCGGGTTGAAGACCCTATCGAGGTGTTGTCTGTTCGTTCACCGAGTAGGCGAAGTGCAGTGGGTGCACCTCGAGCACCAGTTGCCTACTAGAGTTCCGGTAATGACAGGCAGAGCCCTCCCATGCAACCTTGCCTGGATCGCACCCGGATGCTTGTCTCATCAACCCGCGAGCGAGCGGGCAACTCAATCAAACGAGCACAGGCCGCGGGCGGGGTAGCGTCCGACTCAGCCCTGAGCTATCTTACCTTATCAATCGGCGAAAAATGACGCAGCGCGCCGATTCGGGGTCTTCCAGCGCTCGAGGCCCCTAATTCTGGAATCTTCCAGCGGCGGACACTTCCACCGCTTAGAAATGCTCCGGGCGGGTCGGCGGATCCAGCGTACTGGTCGCGCGATCGCAACGCCGTGGCCTCTGAGGTGAAAGGCCCCGGCCGTCAACGTGCTTGACCGAATGGCCGTCTGACCCCCCCCGTTCCGCTTGACGCAAAAAATCATCTTGCAAGGAGATGAGGAAATCTGCTTCGACGCCTTCCTCGCCCCGACTGCTTGTCGTCCGACCGGCACGTCGCCCTCTGTAGTCCCTCCCCATCGCGAACCAGCATCGATAACCTGTCGTTCCCTTTCCTACATCCGAAGAGGCCGCACGTGTCTGGTGG